GTCTCTGCAGTTTAAATCCTCCACAGGCAGCAGCTGGGTCTGTACGCTCACCATCAATGAGATATGCAGCCTTCACTGAGCAAAAATCAGCCGCTTGGAGGAGATTAGTTGTAAAACAAAAGGCCTATTAAGGGGGTTTTCCACGAACTGGAATCATCAATTGATGACCTAATTATTAATTCGCCCCTCGTCCACCGGTGCATCCATTCAACACCCTGCAGAAGACTCCTCAGTGTGACGAATATTAGTCAGCGGCTGTAACGTGTGCCGTAGTGCATTGCGTAACCATTTCCACTGGGGTGGACCAGAAAATACCCCTGAATCCAGACGGGTATATCCCGAACACACAGCCTGCTCCGCACACACGAAACCATCGTCGTGCGTAAAAATCGCCTCCTAATCAGCACCGGTGTGAACACGGAGCTCTGTTTTAGCAGCATCAGCACCAAGACGAGTGAATATACAGAATTAAACCAGAACACAGGAGGCCATTCTGTGCACAGACACCGGCTCGTTTGGATTCCTGCATGAATACGATGAAATTGCGTCGTTTTCCAGTTAGAATTCAGAAAGTTTCCCCCCTGCTCTGCCTGGAAAGCGTTAATTGCTGTATTCTGGTGTGGAGACGCCTGTAATTGCTGCTGCTGCTGGTTACACGCCCTAAAGCAGCCGTATGGCATCGCTCAACACAAGCAAACAGTCAAAACAGCGAAGGAAAACTGCAAAATTTAACCCACTAGCTCCCTGTTTGAGCGAAACGCTGAGAAAAGACCTGCTTTAAGATGTAATAATAAATGGATGGTGGTAATTACCTTTGTCAAGCCTCGAATCCGAAAAGCAGCGGGCAGGGAGGGGCTCAGGAGTGATGGAATGCGCTTTTTTTTCTTTATTTCATTAATCTCGTCCACCCCATCACCCCCAACCTGACAACAACAGACTTCAATGGGACCAGATCGGGAGTCGCTGAACACTTTCGGTTGATGTCGGGTTTGTGGACCATTCGAGCTCGGCGGCGCTCGGCAATCTTCGGCAAAAAGCGTCGATTCTGGCTCGGAGCCACCAGAAAGACGCTGTGCAGTTTAACCTCCGGCCACCATTACACATTTGTGCAACGTGACGTTCAATTATCCGGTCAGTCGGGCGGTTTGGAGGGAAATCCTCCCGAACATGACGCACTGGTGCCCTGTTTATCAGCATCTCACTGATGCTGGAGGAGGAAACGTGTGCTGGATGCTCAGTTAGTAAAAATCTGGACAGAAGACAACACATAGAAAACTGTGGATAAACTGTAACATTAGAAAACTATTAAAACAAAACAAAAAAAAAACCTGGGAAATTGCCAATAAATATCTGTAAATATTTTTTATTTTATGTTTTTTGTTTTGTTGCTGATTTAAATAAACAAGAACTTTATCATTTGTGATCATAAGCTGTGAAAGGACAAATGACTAATTGGCCTGTTTTTAACAGCCAGCATGTAAATCAATACTTTAATCTTCAGTTTTCCTGCAGTTTACTAAAACATGGAAAAACTGTAAAATAAAAGTCAGATAGATAGATAGATAGATAGATAGATAGATAGATAGATAGATAGATAGATAGATAGATAGATAGATTTTAGTCCTTAATTTTTTTTTTTAAATCTTTCAAATAACAAATATCAATGCAGACTTTTTCTGATTTAAGCACAGTGGAAAGAATGTAATTTTACACTTAAATGTTTTGTAGGAATTTAAAAAAAAATTTAAATACTTTTTTATTTCTGTTTTTTGTTTGTTTGTTTTTTTTACAGTAAATGAAAACTTTTTTTCGGCGAATGTTCTAGATATTAGCTGTCGTTTCACAACACTTGGAAAATGTAAAGTTATTAAGTGTTTTTTTTTTAGCCCTTCTGTCAAATAACAGCAAGTATCTGCAAAA